AGTTTCGGAATATTCCTGTGGAGAGTTTCAGAGTGAGCCTGAGGAAAACTTCAAAGTAATTTTGATGATAATTTCAGCGTGATTCTGAGGAAAATTTCAGAGTAGTTCTGATGAGATCTTCAGAGTTTTTCTGTGGAGAGTTTCAAAGTAAATCTGAGGAGAACTTCAGAGTAGTTCTGAGAAGAACTTTAGAGTAGTTCTGTGGAGAGTTTTAGAGTTTTTCTGTGGAGAGTTTCAAAGTAAATCTGAGGAGAGCTTCAGAGTAGTTCTGAGAAGAACTTTAGAGTAGTTCTGTGGAGAGTTTCAGAGAAGTTTTGAAGCAAAATTCAAAGTAATTCTGAGGAGAACTTCAGTGTAGTTCTGAGGAGAACTTCAGAATATTCCTGTGGAGAGTTTCAGAGTAAACCTGAAGAGAACTTCAAAGTAGTTCTGAGAAGAGTTTCAGCGGTATTCTGAGGAAAAGTTCAAAGTAGTTCTGAAGAGATATTCAGAGTTTTTCTGTGAAGAGTTTCAAAGTAAATCTGAGGCCAACTTCAGAGTAGTTCTAAGGAGAAATTCAGAGTAGTTCTGTGGAGAGTTTCAGAGTAGTTCTGAGGAAAGTTCAAAGTAATTCTGAGAAGATCTTTAGAGTAGCTCTGAGGAGAACTTCAGAATATTCCTGTGGAGAGTTCAGAGTAAGCTTGCGAACAACTTCAAGGTAGTTCTGAGGAGAATTTTGTCGTTATTCTGATGAGATCTTCAGAGTTTTTCTGTGAAGAGTTTCAGAGTAAATTTGAGGAGAACTTCAGAGTAGTTCTGAGGAGAACTTCAGAGTAGTTCTGTGGAGAGTTTCAGAGTAGTTCTAAGGAAAAGTTTCAAGTAATTCTGAGGAGAACTTCAGAGTAGTTCTGAGGAGAATTTCAAAGTAGCTCTGTGGAGAACTTCAAAGTAGTTCTGAGGAGAACTTCTGAATATTCCTGTGAAGAGTTTCAGAGTAAACTTGAGGAGAACTTCAAAGTAGTTCTGAGGAGAATTTCAGCGTAATTCTGAGGAAAATTTCAGAGTACACAGCAAAAAAAGTTTTTGAATATTACATCGAAACTGCTGCAACCAGGTCAATCCATCAATCACATTGTACGATGTGCATCGATTTTGCGAACAAAATTACATCCATTGATGTTATATTGTATCTGCGTTTTGCTATTACATCATTATTTCATACATCAGTTTGAATTACGTTGATCGATATTACATTTTTTTTTTGCTGTGTAGTTCTGACGAGAACTTCAGAGTTTTTCTGTGGGGGTTTCAGGGTATGTCTGAGGAGAACTTCAGAGTAGTTCTGAGGAGAACTTCATAGTAGTTCTGTGGAGAGTTTCAGAGTAGTTCTGAGGAAAAGTTCAAAGTAATCCTGAGGAGGACTTCAGAGTGGTTCTGAGGAGAAGTTCAAAGTAGCTCTGAGGAGAACTTCAGAGTAGTTCTGAGGAGAACTTCAGAGTAGTTCTGAGGAGAACTCCAGAGTAGTTCTGAGGAGAACTTCAGAGTAGTTCTGAGGGGACATTCAGAGTAGTTCTGAAGATAATTTCCGAGAACTCTTCAGGAAAATTTCGGGAAATTTATGAAACTCTCCGAGAGCACCTGGAACACGTCTGGCCAGTGTGGTTCTAAGTACTTAATATGGCCACCAATGTTCTTATTTTTGAATTCTCATGTAGTTTGATGCGTCACATGAGGGTGTTGCTTCAAAAATATTCCGACCAGTTCCCCGGAGGTACCTGGAACATGATCGGATCTGGCTAACGTGGTTCTGAGTACTTAATATGGCCACCAACGATCCTATTTTTGATTTCTGATGTAGTTTTATGTGTCGCATGAGGATGTTGAGAAGAATGTGGTACTGGTAATTCGTGCTACACCCGAAAGGAGGTGAAAGTAGGCCGCATTCCTAGCAAAAAAAAATGTATGGCAAGGTAGGTCGAAAAATTATTAATTACCGAGTTATTTATCAATTTATTTGACATTGCCGCGCAACACTACCACTTTTTGCTCGAGCACTCACGAATATTACCAAAGCCCATCAGGAAGTAAGCATTGCTAGGCTACTATGATAAATCTTTGTTTACTAACCACTCTATTCAATTGGCGCCACAAGCTTACTTTAGGATGGACTTGATCAGGTTCTAATTAATTTATGTTACATTTAAATGTAATAGAAACAGAAATTCGAGAACGTAAGTGGAAGTGGGTCGGCCACACACGTTGGGTCGAATCTCTGGTTCATTTTTTGACAACAATAACGAGTTCAAGTGAGAGACTCAACTCAAAATCAAGTAAAAAGAACTCATATTTTGGGTAGTATTATTACTCCGTGCAGGGTCGTGCAACATTTTTGACTCCTTAATGAGCCACTTTGAATCAGTATAAAATTAATTGCTCAATAACTCGGTAAGGAATGATTTTTCGAGCTACCTTGCCAGACACTTTTTTGCTGCAAATGTGGTCTACTTTGACCTCCTTTCGGGTGTAACACGAATTACCAGTCACCCTGTATAATCCTTTCCCTTTGTCCTTCTATTTCTAGATAGAGCTGGAATTAGGGCGTAACAGCTTTTGTAAACAATGACTTCTATCGATGGTTTGTAAGAACTCAAGACACGGCCACGCAGACCAACATAACCATCGGATTGAGGAAGTCTTTCCCTATCCGATGAGGGGGTTTTGCGTGGGCGAGCCTTGAGTTTCTAGAAATCATCGATTGAAGTCATTGTTTACAAAAGCTGTTAGGCCCTAATTCCAGCTCTATCTAGATTTTTGCTTTCCTTTTCCTTTCGCTCTTTTCTTTTCAGAAAGCGAGTAATTGGTATAGAGCCATAAGCCATAAAAGGCTAGGACAATAGTTAGTGCTCATATCTCAACCATCAAAGGAAAATGGAGCATCACTGTACCTTTCTAGCTACGGAACGTACGGTACGAGATGCCCACGTTTCATCCATTTATTGAATTCTGAAGTATCGTGTTTAACTCTTCGATTTAAACAGGCCCGATGTTTTTTTTTAAATCATTTTTCCCCTTAAATGCTGTACAGTACGCCTGGCCGTTTTGATATGTGTGACGCATCTTCGATGTGAAACATATATCAAATAGACAAGAACAATGATGGAGGGATATCAATCATTTTCCAGGATGCTTTCAAGAACTGGCTGTGTTGGTGTTAGATTAGATTAGATTACCATGGCTCACTCAATATTAAAGTGAATAAATATGTTTTAATAAATGCTAAGTATCACTTAACAAAGGCAACCAGAAGTGAGTGGTTAGCAAATTCTTCAACAAATTGACATTCAACCGACAATCTCTGTCAACAACTGTTATACAAAGTATTCCATTATCGAGATTTTCCCCTTTTTCATTCAGGAAAAAAACCCAAACTGAATCCCATTCAACAGATTTCAATTTCGCGATACAAAAAGCCATGCAAACAACAACGGCAAATACCGGCAGCAAATGACAGCCGATAGAGCTTTCCCGATCGCATCTTCCTTCGGGGTTTCTACTTATAATCGACGGAACCCCACAGATGCCACCGCGGGCGCCGAAAGGATTAAGGTCCCATTCCTTTGTGAACAACAAATTGTGAGGTGGAACTGCCGACGCCCAAATCGTTAGACTTGATTGTATGCAGGAAATCCAGCGGAATGGGCGTCACACAGCTCGCGTATTGTTTGTTTATTAAAAAAAAAGAACAGTCAATGTGTGTTGCTTTTGATTGGTGATTCGTGACGGAAAATGACTTACTTTTTGCTGCGCGAAATATTGCCAAGAAGACAGATGGTTGGAGTCGTTTGACTGGGGCACAGGTGGTGGAAGGAGTTTTTGGGATCATGGCAACCGTACACGATTGGAAATGGAAGAACATGACTCAATTGAATTTGTGATAAACTGTAACTGGTTAGAATATAGATGCTACACAATATGGGCGATGGGATTCGTTTACATGTTATGAAACTTTGGTCGAACGAAATAGAGTAGATCAATGCTTTCATATCCTGGCACTGGCAACGAACTCGCATCTTTTGTCTTTCATAGGGTATGAAATTAAATCGGGATAGTAAATTAAATTTGAAAACAACAAGATTTTCTAACAGTTTTGACGCAATGGTATGCGTGATCTGCAAGATTCTCCCATTACATTTTTCGTAAGAAATATTGACAATATATGATTATAGGAGCACTGCTGTCGTTCCAGTTAATGTTTCAAATTCACAAAAGAAAAAACCTTCCGTCCAACCAATCAATTCCATACAATTATTCTCATGCCTCCCATCTGCACGAATCTCATAAATTGCTTCTTGGAAGTTGTTTATTATGCGTTGGAAACTCATTCGAATGCTTCCCTCATTCTAAGATATGTGCATAATTTTATCCGCCTAGATGCTTCCGTTGAATTTTGTTTTCTTCTTCATGAGCTTCAGAAGTTATACTTTACATACCGATCGATTCCCACTTTTTCCTTTTTTTTTTCTTGCTTCCTTAACGGAACACGTATGTCTAATATGACTGACAGCTGAAAATCGCACTGTTTGCGCTTCCTACGCAAAGTCTACTACTAGAGCGCGCTCGAGCGTTCTGAAAACCGTTGGCATTAAGCGCTTCCAATTGATGTTTTGCCTAACGTGCTAGAAAAGAAAACTTAACAAAATTAAATCCATAAACAACATACAATTATCATTTACTAAGAAAACAACTGAAGTTCTGTAAGATAAAATTAGAACATAAAAGCTAAACGAATATAATTATCATCCGAAACAAAATGTGACGTCTACACCTAAGGAACTTCAAACAATTATGTGTGTCTATGTGTGTTACTATTTCTGGTAAGTCAAAAGATCATTAAAAAGTAAACATTCTAAAAGTGGTACAATATTAAGGCACAGCTACCATTCGAGTAAATATAGATATAGAGGATGGACAGAGTTTTAGAGAGTACCGGGGGAATTCCGGGGTGGGAAGCGGACAATTACCTCCAATTTGCAGGGGCTCGCCGAGGTTGACGTAGAACAGCACATCCTTCTCGTAGCTGCCTTCCTCAATAATGCCTATCTGGATGGTTTTTCTATTGAAGAAAGAGAGAGAAAAGAACGAACGATTAAACATCTTCGGAGGTTGATTTTGAGGTTAGGTTGCGGTTGCTGCTGGCTAGCGTCACTGGCGTCACTTTGTCATCTGAATCATCTGCTATGACGATGACAAGGGAAAGGTGATGATCGATTGGAATTTGTGAATGTTCATAATGTTCGGTGCCATGTGATTACACTGGGATACAAAACAGAAAATCTCCATGAAAATTTAATGTCTGAATGTGCGTTTCAAAAACAGCCATGATTCATCACGGCTCGGTAAAGTTTTGTTTAACAAACTATTTCAGAATTTTTCGACTTCCAGTGTCGTCTTGTCGCACCAATAATGGAACCGATGCGGTGCGGCGTGTGGAACCTGTTGAAGATTCAGCGCTTGTATGTGTCACGCCTCCCACCAAACATTATCCAAGGATGCGTGTTGCTCAATTAAGGTTATGAGCTGGCGGCGAGGCCCATCCATAAACTTGAGCCAGACATGGTATATCTATTGTTGTTGTTGTTGCTACGGGGGTGACGTGAATGAGAGCGAACGGTAATGCCTTTGTGATAGTGGAAACTATAATAATGACAGTTGATGGTATACGAGCACATATTTCCTTGTGGGTGGTTCCGAAAGGGATCAGGTAGATTAACGAGGGCGATGGCAATAAATTTTCGTGGAATGATGCGGTGGTTTTTATGAATTTGGATGGACTTGTTTATTGCAAGGGTAGCATGATTAGGCAGTTGTTAACGGATAAGTTATTATGGCGATCATTCAGACGTGCTGATTCGAGAAACATTCAGTGTAAATTCTACTGAGAATTCCCCAAAATTTCAAGCCGAGGTTTTTTTTTTTGCTGGCGATGACTTACGTATTACACACTACAGAAAAATTGATGTAAATTTCGGTGCTCTGAGCCTGACACATGCGAGTGTCAATTTCGACATGCGAGCAAAATTCAGCTCAATCAAACGTTCTTTAAAACTTTTCAGTATCGGAGCACTTAACTTTACATGACATGTTTGTTTACGTTTCATCATTTATGTCAAAGATGGATTCCGTCACGTGTAAGATTAGGTATTTCTAAGTGTGTAGATTTTGATCCATGATGCTCTCCTGGCTCGCTATTGACTGAGAGTGATAAAATACCGAACGAATATCGTAGCGTAACGTAACGAATAAGAAAGGTAAGAACATTGCAGGTTTGGGGTATTCCATAAATTACGTCAACAAGAAGAAGTTGCAAGACGGAGGGGCATTGGATGAATTCCTACCCCAACCGGAAGGGTCACTAAAGGGCGAACACGACATTATTGCAACACTTACAACTGGCTGTATCTTTATTCCTACTAAACGGAAATTAACCAAACTTTGCATAGTTTCTCTGAAGTGTATTGGTTACATCCTGTCAATTGCGGTTTCATTCGGCGAAAAGATCAACTGTTCAAAAAAATCCAAGCAAGCGCACATAAACTTCATCGCATCATCCGGGAGAACGGAAACTTTTCGGGAATGATAGTGCTTCCACTTGTTCCAAGTTATGCATAAATACACTTCCTGATTAACTGCTTTCAATGTATGATAATCGCCCTTGTCGAGGATGTCACGTAACATGTTGATCCAACATTGGAGTAGAACCTCAGTGCAATCATAGAGGTAACTCTAAGACTAGAAGGTCCCGAAATAACGTGCTCAACTTTTTGGCTCAGCTCTGGTACTCTCTTCGGTCCCAAGCTAATCGATTCACCCCTCGAAAATCCACTAAACCCTCATTTTATCTGTCAAACTTTCATAGCGAATCAAAACAAACATTGTGTAGTAGTAGAATTTCGACCAGAATGGGGTACGTTAATCGTTTGCTTGGGACCAATAGGCTAGTCAAGTAGTGAGCCAATTTAAAATCGTTAGTTTCGTATTGATTGTTGGTGCAATGATCGCACAACGAAACTATCGAAAGAAAAACAAATTTTGACGTTTAACTTTTTCCAGGCAACTTTGTAACCATCAATGTCGTCATAAAGCTTAACGGAATAGGATCAAAAAAAAAGGCCTCAGATCAAAACAATTCAGTTTGCAAATTATCTTCATTAAAGTCGAATTAAAACGTTTTGCATTTGTTAGCGATTTCATGAAAGCAAAATAGCTTTTTCACAATTGGCCAATTTAAAATCAATTTTTATGCCACCGCCATATTGCCATAGAGGTAACTCTAAGACTAGAAGGTCCCGAAAGAATGTGCTCAACTTTTTGGCTCAGCTCTGGTACTCTCTTCGGTCCCAAGCTAATCGATTCACCCCTCGAAACATAAGAAAATCCACTAACCCCTCATTTTATCTGTCAAACTTTCATAGCGAATCATAACAAACATTGTGTAGTACTAGAGTTTCGACTAGAATGGGGTACGTTAATCGTTTGCTTGAGACCAACAGTCAAGTAGTGAGCCAATTTAAAATCATTAGTTTCGTATTGATTGTTGATATTGCTATTATTACATTTGTTTTTTACTATCTCCGTTTTCAAGATGTTTTTCCTTGAAAATAACTTTATCTCATCAATTTATCAATGAGCAGCAATAGAGATTACGAAAATCATCAAATTATCTCGGCTGGACGCAATGATTAATATAAAAAATAGCTATACTTTGTTTCCAAAATTAAATAAAACAAGTAAAATGAACGATTTCCGAAGGTGGACTTATTTTTTTCGATCTTCCGAAGCACATTTCACATTAGATTCAATCTGTTACCAAACAATAGACCCCAAAATGAGAACTGTTTTGATAATTTTAGTAGATCTTTCACTTTAATGATAAGAAAATGTATCAGGATTTTTGACAGATTCCTTTTTGAACAATGAATTTGGCAACATCGGATGATATTTATGTATCCCTTTTTATCTTATTGATGCTTTATTTTTGGTGTGCTTAACAAGCATCAAAGGCAAATGGCACACGTATTGATGCCAAATGGCTTTTATTGTAGTTTTAATAAGGATTTCAAATGGTACTCAATGCTTTCGTGGTATAGCCTTTTTTCAGCAAATAAATTTTGAAGTGCCTCGTAAATATGCCCTTCTTCGGGGTGGGCCAACTAGACAGATTCTAGCCTTAATGAGGTTTTGGTGGATGTTATAAAGGCAAAACTGTGCTGTGCAGGGTTTTATGAATGTAGTTTTAAAGTAGCCTTGTAGCATAGAGGTAACTCTAAGACTAGTAGGTCCCGAAGAAACGAGCTCAACTTTTTGGCTCAGCTCTAGTACTCTCTTCGATACCAAGCTAATCGATGCACCCCTCGAAACATATGCAAATCCACGAACCCCTCATTTTATCTGTCAAACTTTCGTAGCGAATCAAAACAATCATAGTGTATAGTACTGGAATTTATACTAGAATGGGGTACGTTAATCGATTTGCTTGGGACCAATAGGCTATTCAAGTAGTGAGCCAATTTAAAATCGTTAGTTTTGCATTGATTCTTGCTTGTAGTACCTCATAAACCGTAAAATCTTACTTGGGATGTCACTATTCTAAAAGTGTGCTGGAATGGTATGAGCATAGAGGTAACTCTAAGACCACTGGGTCCCGAAGAAAATCATTATTATTTTTGGCTCACTCAGTACCAGAACAACGGTCCCAAGCAGTCCCAAGCTATTTCACTCACCCCTGCATGTTCTGCATGAATCCACACACCCCTGATGTTATCTGTCAAACTTTCATAGCGAATCAAAACAAACATAGTGTAGTAATAGAATTTCAACTAGAATAGGGTACGTTAATCGTTTGCTTGGGACCAATAGGCTACTAGGTGAGCCAATTTAAAATCGTTAGTTTCGTATTGATTGTTGGTATGAGGCCATGATGAAGCGGGTACTCAGAAAGAGCAAGGAGAAAGTAAAGGATGTAAATGACATGGGGAGGAAATGGAAATCCTAAAACTTTTTTCATTTATGAAAACCAGATTTCAAAGAACGAACAGATTTTAACCTCTCTGTTGTGCCCTGAACCGTCTCACCTTCAATAGCAGTTGATTTTCAGGGGTCCAACACAGAAGCATGCAGCAGCAGGAACGATCATTTGTCCGTCAATCAGCCGAAAGGAAATTAATGGCGAGTGTGTGCACTTGTCCTTCCGAATCTCCCTTGATAGTTGGAATTCTTCACTTGATTTCAGAAAGCTCACTCACGTAATCACAATATCAAAACGCATGATTTATTATAAACACAAACTAACGGACACTACATTTATTAATCGACTTAACTAACTAGACTACACAAAGGAATACAAATATGCGGTTTACCGCGACCGTATGACCGTAACCAGTGGTCCGTCCGATGACCTGTTCGCAACTCGAACGGCTCCGTCTTCACCTGGATGGGTCTCAGTAATTCGTCCCATTTTCCACCGTATTGGGGGTAGATTCTTGTCGCAAACTACCACCAATCTGCCGACCTCGATTTGTTTCGCTGGACCTAAGCATTTCGTGCGTCCTTGGAGTTGGCACAAATACTCCTTGCGCCATCTATTCCAAAATCCCTGGAACTTCTGCTGCAGCTGTTGATAGTGATTCAGTCGGTTTGTTGGAACATTCAACCAGTCAGGTTCAGGTAGCTCGTGGAGGGATGAACCGATAAGGAAGTGGCCTGGTGTCAATGACTCTAGGTCGTTTGGGTCATCAGAGATGGGCGTAATCGGCCGGGAATTAAGGCACGCTTCGACTTGCACGAGCAGGGTTTGAAAATCTTCTGGCGAGATCGGTTCTTCTCCAACGACTCTAAGCAGATGATGTTTGGCTGATCGCACGGCCGCCTCCCAAAGGCCACCAAAGTGAGGATCATTTGGAGGATTGAAGTGCCATCGGATGCCTTCGTTTGTGCAGTATTTGGTTACCGCTTCCTGGTGCTTACTGTCCCGCAACATCGTGAACAGTTCCTGGAGCCGATTTCTTGCTCCGACAAAGTTGGTCCCGTTATCGCTATACATGTCGGTACACCTGC